ATGTATTAAAATATTTCATATTTCATCGTTCTTACTAATCGTTGTGTCTTATATTTACAAGTTAGAATAGTGTTTGTGTAGGGAAGTAGACAGACCAATGTTCTGTCAAAACATGTATTAAAATATTTCATATTTCATCGTCCTTACTAATCGTTGTGTCTTATGTATACAAGTTAGAATATTGTTTAATACTTTAAAGGAGAATTAAACTAATTAGTGACTTTCTGTACTGGATGTTGAATTATTTTCACCAGATACTTTAAAAACCTCCTCCAGTAAGAACTCCATTACAATAAGTTACTTTCTTATTAGCTGATTGATGAGTTGCCAAATTAAGAATGTGAGTTATTTCTACTTAATTGTCCATATATTATAGGGCCTTTGTTTTTGGTAATAAGTATGTGATTCATCTGTTTGTGGGAAAAGACATCTAATCTACTGAATAAGTTTTTTTTAAATAATTATATAAGTCTTTAAAGTGTTGTAGTAAATGGTTTATGTAGAGCCATGTTATTTACATAGTGATAAAACTGTTATATTAGACCACCATAAATATCATGAACTAAAGTTATAAGAGTAATAGTCTTTTTTTTTATAAACTATTGAATAAACCGTTAGCAAAATATGTATCTGCCAGGATCTGTTGTTGTTCATTAATTATACTGTTGTAAGCTATATTTTCAATGTTTTAATTTAGTTGTGTGCTAGAGGGTGCTGCTAACATGATGATGATCCTAGATTTAGAAACTTTATGAAAGTACAATACCTAGAGTGTTTGTGAATGTTAATGTTTGAGAGACTTTGCCAAATATCTATTCTGAAGCATACATTATAAAAATGAGAATCAGAGCATTTAGTTTCAGTTCTTTTAGTGGTTGAGTCTTCAGTGAACTATTCATTATCATTGTTAGCTATCATGTATAGGCAGTTATCGATTACTTAGCCAATCAATTGTACAAGTAATGTTATTCACAGAACCATTAAAGAGAAATATGCATTAAAAAATGTGAACTTAGGCCTGAGCCTTCTGTCAAAGTGAACGTTGCCATGAACTTTGCATTATTATCACCAAGTGATCTAAAGGAATCCACTCTAGTGTAGAAGTGACACATGTTACAACAATGTTATCTTAGTTATATGGATTAAACTAGACTTGACTTTGAATCTAGTTTTTGTTCCTAAATATGTGAAACTGTACTGGAAATTTAATGATTTTATTTAGCAGAAGATAGTAATGTTTAAGCTACATTCCCATGAGCATCTAGTTATTCCTGGCTCTGTCAGTTCATAAAAATTAGGACAAATTAAACAGTTATTAGTTTTCTTTGGTGTCTAGTTGGTTGATTGCTGCTTTTCACCATAGACAGCTTTAGTTAAGATAAGGTTATATCAGAACTCTGTTAGTTAATCTTGAACTCAGTGGCTATTGAGTATTTAAGTGAAACAGTTTTGAAGTATAGAGAAAGTTTATAAAATGATGTTTTTTTCATAGGCCAGACCCAATTCTTCAAATGGAATTATATCTGAAAATGACATAGTTGATAGATTGATGCAGTCTACTATGATCAAGTCCATTCTGCAGGAAAGCCTGTTTGATGCTAACGAGGTTCGATTTGCCCTTAACCGCCAGGTGCAAGAGACTGGAATGGGATTTTCAACTTTGGATGATTTGTGTGAAGCAGTCTTGAGCTACAGACAACTACATTCTGGAAAATCAAGGTAGGTTTTTTCTACTGGAATAGTTTGTTTGTACTTATTTATATGGAACAGCTGAATAAGCCTCAGAAAAATTCATAAAAAATTGTTAGTTTAGATGAAACTTGTACAGATTCCTAAACTTTAACATTTACAATTTCAAGAGATCTGTATTGAACTGATCTAGTTGCTATAAACATTGACCTAGGCCCGGCATGGCCAGTTGGTTAGGGCGCTCGACTCGTAATCTGCGGGTCGCGGGATCGAATTTCCATCACACCAAACATGCTCGCCCTTTCAGTCGTGGGGGCATTATAATGTGACGGTCAATCCCACTATTTGTTGGTAAAAGAGTAGCCCAAGAGTTGGCGGTGGGTGGTGATGACTAGCTGCCTTCCCTCTAGTCTTACACTGCTAAATTAGGGACAGCTAATACAGATAGCCCTCGTGTAGCTTTACGCGAAATTCAAAACAAACAATCGTATTAAGTATATAAAGTATGGTGAGGCCGGAAACTTGTATTT